AGAGAAGGAGATGAAGTTTGTTTATGTCCATAAATTACAGACTTTTGTTTTCAGGTGCATGAGTGAAATGCCTTTGGTATCACTAATACCATAATGTAATAAATGCTTACTGAACTTGGGAAAACATAGAGACCAACAGCAAATTAAGACTTCAAAGCAGGCTTGAAGTGTTACAATTATTCTGTAACATTGTTTTGATCATTAAGTAAAGGGAAAACTTACTGAAGTAGAATTCTAGCCTTTAGTTGCAGAACAAAAATAAGAATTTCATTGACATAATCTGCTAGAAAATTTATAGAGCCATGTGTGCTTGTTGGAATTGTCCCTGGCACACAGTTTGACAAAACTCCTTTTGTAAGTTGTTAGGGCTCTGCTGTAGGATGTATCCAGGTTTACTAATTCAGCAGTTTCACAGTATTGCTACATTCTCTCTCCTGCTCATTAGACAAAAGCAGCCTGAAACAAGGCAGGGAAGCAGTGCAGTTGTCATGATGGTTTCCAAAAGGATACATAGACAGATGGCTCTGGAAAACAACTGAGGAACCTCTGCCTACCCCCAGCCAGGAGAGTAAAAGGAAAGTTGAAAAAGTAGTTTCTAAAAATACCCCTGAAATGTAACATTAAAGGCTTTTATGGCTAAACTTTTGTTACATGACATAGAAGGAGTATATATATACAGATACTTTAAAGGATATCTTAGTAATTACTTTATAAATTAAACAGTATTCATTTTTGTGATCTCCAGGAAAGTACTGACAACATTGAAATGGTTCCATCAACACAGCAGGAACCTAGGCCATGGTAAACTCATCACACCTGAAAAGCCTGCTGGTGTTCCTGACAGGAAATCCTTCCTCTATCCATGTCATGTTCTGTCCTCTAATTTCTGTTTGGTACTTTGGCACTACTGACAGTGCAAGTTTAAAAAATCCTTTTATCAACTCACAGAATTAAGTAGATTGATTAATTCCTTTTCCTTTTTATGCATTTTTTATTGATCTGCAAATTTACCTCTTCTTGAAGATTTCAGTGACATGTTTCAATGACTGTTTTCATTTTGTTTAATATGTCTAACTAAATTTAACATTATTTGCTCTTGGTTTCAGCTGTTAATCCTAGATATATACTTAGGAATTGGATGGCAGAATCAGCAGTGCAAAAAGCTAATTTGAATGATTTCTCTGAGGTAAAATTATCTTTTTTTTCCTTGACAGATTTAATAATAACTGGCATCACAGCTAATGAAACAATTGTTACATTTACACTTTGAATTGTACTACATTTTGACCAAAATTGTACCATGTAACACCAATTGCTATTTAAAGTATTAACAAAATTATGAATAGTATTAATTATAACATAAATAGCAATGACTGTATTAATAGTAGTACAAATAATACTAAGCAATTCATGTGATAGTTTCTGGAGCCAGGAGGGTGCATAAGACAAAATGAAAAAAGCTTTCCTTGTTTACCAGAAAACATTTGGTATAAACCTTACCCATTTTTAACTGCTTCCAGGTTCAGCTCCTAGAGCAGGTTTTACAGCACCCCTTTCAGAGGCAGGAGGCTGCAGAGAGAGCAGGGTACTCCCTGCGCCCCCCAGCCTGGGCCAAGAATCTCAAAGTCAGCTGTTCATCCTGAGGGAAATTCAAACAAGCAAGAAGAATGATCAAGGTCAAAGCTCAAGCCTTCAAATAGGGCTAATGGATCAAGCCACAGGAATTTCTCTCCCTTAGACTTGGTGGACTGGAATCTGCTACGGTTCTTGACCAACTGATGAAGTCTCAAGATTAAAGAAGTGCATCGCTATCTATGGTTGCATCAGCAGATTATACTGGCATTGACAACTCTGCCTCTCACATTCAGCTGTGCTTTGAGTCCCAATATTTAAGTTCTGCCAAACTGTAACACTTAACCTTTCAAAATTCATGGCTGATCAGGTGGGTCTTCATAGCTTTTAGTGACTGATCAATTTAAAATCCATCTAAGCTAGTTTTAATAATGCAGTATTTTGATGAATTTTCCTCTTGCTGTTAAACACTCATCAAATATAGCCATTTTCTGCAGACATAAATGTTCTTAAATCTTGCAGACCTGGCACAGAGGATCATCTTAGACCTTGACACCTTTTCTCATTCTGATTATATTTTGTCCCATTAAACTGAGAGAAGATTTAAAGGAAATTCAATTAAATAGTTAGCAAAGATGTCTGTCTTGGAACAGGCAAAAATGTCTGTCTTACTCCAGAGCAAGTTTTGGTGTCTTTGCTGGTGTCAGGTACCTTTCCAGAGGACCACTGCTCTTTCAAAGTATCTTTTGATAGGAATAGAAAGATTATTGGTGCACAGATATGAAGTCTCAGGAAAAATTCACTGTTTGGCCCTGGAAAAGGACTGTGATGGGAGCATCTCAGCTGAGACTGCTTCAGTTTCAGGTATGGAGGAAGATTGAAAAGGACATGCTGCAATTTCAGATACTTTCAGACTAAAATACTGTCTATAAGGTCTAGTGATATACAGACCATTTAGAAGACAATAGGTTAGGCAGAGGTAGCAGGATTAATTTCTTTCTACAAACGCTTTGAATTACAGCATTGGAACATCTTTTCATATTTTGCAGTGTATTTTGGTACCAGATCAAGCCAGATAATTGTGTATCAATAAGGGACAGCTTTGTTCTTTGAATAGAGTTTAAATCTTACATTTAGAGTTCCATGTAACCATGTACCAACTCAAAATAGTTGATAGAGGTCTAATCGATTATCACAGCATTTTACTTGATTTCTGGAGTTTTCTGTAGGCTTTGATTTTTTTTGTTTTGAAGAAAGTTCAGCTTCTTTTGTGTAAGATTAAGTGCATGAATTATGATTGACTGCAGATGTAAAATGTATTAAAATTGATTTTTTTGTGTTATAACAAAAGAGAAGGGAGGAAATAGGGTGGGAGGCTGAGCATTCTGGTGAGAAGAGTGAATGCTAGAAAAGCCATTGTAAAAGTCTCAGTGCTTTGTGACCTAACTGTGCAACATTTTTCCAAGGACATGTTCTGCTTAATTTTGATGCTGGGTGTATATTTCATAAAATGCATTTGATTTAAAAATAGTTGACTCGTAGACAGCTGTTGTCACCTTAGTATATTAAATATGTGCACTCCTAGTCAGAAAATGACACCTAGATCTTCAATGATTCCGCATAATACTTCCTTCAGTTATATATGGAAAGGGATTGGGAAACAGCAATCCTTTCCTCATTTTTATTTTTTCTTAAACTCCTGGTTTTAACACTCTTACTTTAAGGCTGTTGGTATTTTTCCCCTCCACTTTGAACTGAGGCTTGTATGAGCCTTGCACTGGTCTCAAGGGCATTTCTCACTCTGGCAGTTTGAAGGTGCTGATACCTTTAGCATGTCCCATCATGTCAATTCAAGACTTCCAGGTGACATTATTGTTAGTGGTGGGCAGAGTTCTCTTGGTGAGAGCTTTTTGCTCAGTTCAGCTGAAAGCAAGGGAACTCAAAACCAGTAAGAGCTGGATGGACTCTCTCTGTCAGCTTCACATAGTGTTTAAAGCAAAATCATTTCAGGAAGAAATGCATGTGGTTCCAAACACTGTTTTCAGCTTTAAATAATAGAAATTTTTTTTAAAAAGCAGTGATTTCAAAGGGAAAGGTTCTTTATGAAGACATGGTTACAGCTTTCTTATTTCTGCTAAGCTTGTAATGCAGGTATGTAAGTATTGACAAAACAACCTTAAGCCACAAATAAGACTAGAGATGACCCAAAACATAGACAGTGGCACTGCCACCAGCTTGTCATTCTCTTGCCTCCACCACCACTGCTAGATCTAGGAATCCATTCTGACAAACACAGCAGGCTCACCCCCTGCTCTGTCAGCTGCTTTCATGCATTTATTTATTTAGACCACACTTGGCTTTTTCTGCTTTTTTGTAATTCAAAATTCAGATATATACTGCCGGTGTTATCTTAGAAGGTCAAGTGTACATGAGAAGAGGCAAAGACCAGAATAAAGAAAAACAAAGTTTAGAAGGTATAGGCAAAAATTCTTTAAAATATTTGAAGTTCCAATTGCCAGTAAAATGGCTGTTCATTAACTGTGACACTTTGTAGAGAAATAAAATAGAAGCTATTTTTATTTAAGAGCTAGCAATGAATGCTTTGTAAACGAACAGTGGAGAATTAAATCTGGAGAACAAATGAAAAAAAATGTAGGAGAATACATTCCTATCATGTACAAGAGACTTACAAATTGTTTCACAAGACAGATCATTTCTAGGTACAGTTTGACAAATGTTAACCAAGAGAAAAAAAATGTTAACCAAGAGAAAAAAAAATTCCTGCTTACCATGGAAGCATATATGATTTCAAAATAATTTTTTTTCTTTGTCTAAGGTAACCAAAAAAAAGAGATTTCAAAGCAGCAGCTGTGAATGCTGACAGATGCGACTGAGTTGTATATAGAAACAGGAATGTATAACATTTGAGGTGACACTGTCTGGAAATGGTCCTGGCCCTAAAAGTTTTAAAAGTATCTTTGTATTGGAAGAAAACCCCCCACAGCTGAAAGTTTTCCAATAAAGAACTTTTAAGGGCATTTCTGTGAAAAGGGATCTTCCTTCCCGCTTCTCAAAATTTGCGTGAGGACATTGTATTTTTCCTTTAACTCCAATTCTACTAAAATGGCAGCCAGAGTAGATGCATTTCACTTTCTGAAATGGATGGCTCCACCATCCCTAGCTGTTCCTGTGGAGGGAAGTAAGACTCTCCACCGAATTCTTACCTTGGTCTGGTACTGGAATGGGAGTTAAGAGCAGGGGATGGTGAGGGGGAAAGGGGGAAAGGGGGAGGTTACAGGGACAAAGTGGGGGACATAGGGTGCCTCGTCTTCTTGAGACTCTCCAAGAGGAAGTCTGAAGGAGAATTTCTCCTGGAGAAGCCTGATTCAGCATGACACTCTGTGATGCCTCGGAAAACCAGCTATGTCTTAAAGTCTATCCACTCCCAGAGTTCAGGAGCTGTTACCCCTTTTCTTCTCAAGAGCTTTCATTAGGTCAGACATGAAATCTGCTTGCTTGCCTCCCCCTGCAATCAGAGGTGGCCCTGCTGACTGTGGCTCTCCATCCTGTCCTGTGTTTTCCAGCCTTTTTGGAGGAAGTGGTACAGGTTTCTTCATTGGAAGTGGTGGTGGCTTACTGGAGACAGGTGGAGGTGGAGGGGGTAATGGCACATCTCCATTACTGCTGCTGGAGACCGGTGGTGGTGGAGGCACAAAATCAGGAGGTGGTTCACAGAAATCCGATAGTGGTGGTGGAGGAGGAAAATCAATCTTCAGTGTCAGTGGTGGTGCTGGAAAGCTCTCTGGATCTGTTAGGAAGATGCCACTGTCTCGTTTCACTTTAGAGGGTAGAACTGGTGAAGCAGAAATAGCAGATGAACGCCTTTCAGGTGGAGGAGGAGGCTGCAGTGACGTCCTCTTACTCTGGACTTTCTGTGGCCTCAGCAATGGCTGTGCCAGGCCTGCTGCACCAGTGCTATTTGTTTCAGCCTTTAACAAGCAGAAAAATAAAAGGACAGACACAGTTGGTAAGCGTGTAAACTAATGCCACTGCCTAAGAACATAAAAAGATATGAAAATACATGAGTGTAGTAGACAGGGAAATCAGGCAGAGTACATTTTGCCTGAAACTTGAAAAGAGTATTTTGTTTTCTTTCTGGAGCTGCCCGTAGAGGTTTGACAGTGGAAACCTCCCTGTTGACAGTATTCATAGTGCTTATTTGAATGCTGTTCACAGAAGATGAGTGCTTTTAAAATTTCAAATAATTGCAGTTAGTAAGACTAACATCAGTGAAGTATCTTGGGGAATCATTGTCCTTGAGCCTGGAAGAAATGATCTTTGAATACCAACCACCTCTCTTGGACTCCCCTTCAGGGCCTTCTCCCATGGGATTCTTCCAAGAAGATCCCTAAAGATGCTAAAGTTAGCTCTCCTGGAGTCCCTGTTTGAAATCTTGCTCTCTGTTCTGCTACCTCTTCCTTCAATTCTGAACTCTACAGTCTCGTGGTCACTGCAGCCATGGCTGCCCCACCCGTCCCACGTCCAACAAGGCCTCCCCTGTTTGTAGTACAAGGTCGGGCAGCCCAGCATTCCTTGTGGGATCCTTCAGCACCTGTGACTGGAAGTTGTCATCAATGCTTTCCAGGAGCCTCCTGCACTGCTTTTGCTTTGCTGTTTTGCTTCTCCAGAAGAGGTCAGGGTAGTTAAAGCCCCCCAAAACCAGGGCCTGTGACTGTGGGGCTGCTCCAGCTGCCTGTAGAAGGCCTCATCCACCCCCTCCTTCGATCGGGCGGCCTGTAGCAAACACCCACAATGGAGTCACCCTTACTAGTCTGCCCTTTGTCCTCACCAGGGCAGAGCTCTGCACACTCCAAGTGCTGCTTCACATCGAGGACAATTCCACCACTGCACCTTCCTAGTCTGTCTCTCCTAAACAGCCTGTGGCCCTTCATGACAACATTGCAGCCATGGGAGCTGTCCCACCATGTCCATAATTGCAATGAGATCGAAGCCCAGTGGCTGCAGGCAGATCTCTAGTTCCTCCTATCTGCTGCTTCTGGAGAAAAGTGCTCTGCACCCCTGCAGCAGCATTAATTCTAGCATGAGCTAATTATAACATGTATGCCTCCTCTTCCTCACTCCTCGCCTACAAACGTGGAAGTAAATGAGACTCAGGAGAAGGGAAGCAGTGGCTGAGTTCTCAGAATGTGATCTGGTCCAGAGGAAGTAATGTTCAGAACAGAGAAACAGGAGGAACTCAAAGACAGAAACAAGAAGTGTAGAACACGTAATGCTGGTGACAGAAAAATCCTAGGAATTTAATTTCATTTGTCCTGTGCACTTTAAACGTGATGAAGAGATTGAATAATGAACTCTAAACAAATGCACACTTTTTTCTGTATGATGCTCTTGAGGTTCTCTTACTGTACCCTTTGATATTTTTACAGCCAGATTTGGTGCAAGTACATGAAATTTGGAGCTTAACAAGAAATGCATTTAGAGTCTAAGGAAAACATGTGTTTTCCCTTAGTTCTTCACAGTTTCTCCTTTCTTACACACTCATCTTCAGCTGGACAGTGTTCCCTACTGAAAACACTATTTATGTCTTGTGTTTCGAAGACAAGACCTTGTTTTTTGGCAAAGACAGAACACGGCACCAAGGTTCTAGCAGCACACTTTGAGACTATCCCAGCAGGCACATTCCTATTCCTGCTACATGAACTCATGGCTGCTTGTTCTGAAGAACAGAAGCAGTGGATGGCTGTGCCTTCACCTCCCTCGGAGGCTCCTGGTTCTGTAAGCACACACACTGTTTAGAGTGTGTGGGGCAGCCACTTTTCCCAGGAACCAAATCCTTCTCATTGGCATTTTGAGGGGGAAGACAGTAGGTGAAGGAAAACAAACTTGGAAAATTTATTCACAGATGACATTTAATTGTAGCGACTGCTCACTTGTGCCTCAGATGTATCCACTTTCTTCTGAGTGTCTGGAAATTCTGCACTGCAACAATGACCACTTTGGGGAATCTGTCCATTTGACTGAACAGTACCTGTGACAAGGAGAGGAGCCAGAGGGAAGACAGTGTTAGGTTTTTTTGATATTAACCAGATCAGGGAATACCCAACTATAAAAATTTCTTTACAACTTCCACAAAGAAACACTTGTTACAGAGTTTTTGTACATAACTCAGTAAAATCTGTTTTCTACTTCAAGCTCATTTTGTGACTTTTCTTATTCAGTTTTATTACTTAAGGAAAATAAACTACCTTACATTAAAATCCATAAGCACCTTACATTAAAATACCTGTGTTTCATTACAGCATTTTGAAGTGTGCTGTAGTGTTACCATATTCCCAGTTTTTATTGCCTTTTTGGTTTTTTTTTTGTTTAATTTAGGCTAAAGATGAAAAGCACCATAGCTTCATATCAATCAGTCATTGGAGTGGAAGATCTGAAATCCTACAGAGGGACTGATCCACTTTCTGTAGTAAACAAGCTAAAACATGTCCCTAGCTCTGAAATATCTGCCCCATTTGGAATCACAAATACCTGTGAACTTCACTATGTTCTCAGATTAGTGTGGATCTGGAAGCTGGCTGAGTTAAAGCTCTGCAAAACATCTGCCCACCATTTCTGCTTGTGCAAGGGATATGCATAAATAACCCAATACTGTCAAATGGAGTAAGTGAATGTGAGACCAAAGAACAAATTTACAAGTTTAATTATAAAAAAATCCCCTGCCCCTGTGTAGTCTGATGAGGATTAAATACTCTCCAGTTTAGTGCAGCATTTTTGAAAGCTGTATGTGTCAAAGTAGTAGACAGTGTTTGGTGCCTAGAGACCTACATTTGCAAACCTTAATGACTGCCTTAGCTCCATTATAATTTACAGTTCTGAGATCCAGTAAAGTTCCACTCCTGTACTTCTCAGATGTTAGTGAATCCTTAGCTGTCTACAAGGTAGCCTAAGCACAATGGCTTTAATCTTAACATGTACTTTACTGATCAGAAAAGAGGTTCCAGGAATATGGTAAGAAATAAAGTATTTTTACTGCCATGCCTGCAAATCCCATGACTGGCAGAGAAGTAAGACAAACTCTGCAGTGTGCCTAATTTACTAAGGCTATTTAAGCTTCAAAGGATGACAGAAAGTGGTCTAATATCCTTAGGTTTTATACCTTTGCCTGCATGTTGTTCAGTATATTTAATCCAAATTACCATTTGGATCATTCAAACTACAATCTTGTGTTGAAGGACTAACATGGAAGTCCACAAAGAGATAAAACCAGTCTTGTGGTTCTCCTTCCTCAGTGGAAGGAGATGTTAATCCCTGGGTTCTGTGGCCCAGAGAGGTTATGCTCCCTAAAGTGGAGCAAGTTACTGTCTCACCTCCCTTTGTTTGCTGTTCATAGCAGAGCAGGAGTTTGGTTTTCACACTGCTCAAAGATGAGCAGTGTGAGTTGCTGCCCTCAGTCATATTGAGATTTAACTAAAAGAACTAGAGCAGAGAGAGATCCACTCTATCTAGTGCAGGTATGGTGTTCTGCTTGGCAAAAATAATGTAACAGAAGGCTGGGACACAGTAACCTGTTTCCTCTTCTGTTAATGGATTTCATAAACTATGCAAGAGTTGAAAGCAACACTTGATTCATCATCTCCTGCCAGCCAGCTATTGGACTCCCAGACAATATAGTATGTGAGCCCATGCATTCTATTCTCAGGATTCATTTTTAATTTATATGTAATAGTATTCTTTACAAATGAATTCTTCAAAATTTTATAGTGAATTAGCATTTGTTTTAAGAAAAAAAAAAAAAAAAGGTAGTCCAAGTAATGCAAAATATAGATATCCAAATATTTATCCTTGTAGTGATAAGGAACATCTGTGTAAAGCGACATCCATCTTTCAAACATCATGATATTGTGGTGCAATATCATGCAGGACCACTACCTACACTGATTTTTTAGTGTTCAAAGGCAACCAGACCCAAAGGCAGAAAGGGAAACAACATACTCTGACTGAGGTGCACCTGGGACGCTTCAGAGCCACAGGCTACACAGGTTGGGGTACATGTGAACCCCAGTGCTGGTTACAGCACTGTGTCCAGGGAATAATGGCTACATGGTAAGTGAGAACCAAAGCTTCACCTGCCTTCCTTGGCTGCCACTGAAGTTAACAGAGTACAGCCAGATCACACAGGACTGTAGTTTTCTATAGCAGATTTCAGCCTATACTGAAGTCAGCCCATACAAATGGCTATGGAGCTATCTGAAAACAGAAGTGAACATCCTTTGTTCTTTTTCCAAAACACAAACCAACAACTGCTCACAGGCAGTTCTAGTAGCATAGTCAGGCCCCAGGCTTTGTATAGGACAGCTACAACAACTGTAAGATACCCAGAATCACAGTGACTTGCCTCATTTACAGCACTAATGATCCTTCAGAGATAATTCCATAGAGACAGTATACATGACTAAAACCTTTCCAGGCTACTTAACCTTTTAATGCAATCCATTAGTTAAAATTAGCAGTATATTCTATTGAACACATGCAGAGCTCCTGCAGGAGCTGAAGCCACAGAGACGTATATACAGCCTTTATAGGGCCTCAGTCCTGCCCGTATCCAGGACAGACGGCAGCATCAGCATGGAGACCCACTGGCCAGCCACATCTCTGCTGCTGTCAGCACCTGAACACAAATGTTCCACGACTGTCAAACCCACCCTCACTCAAGTAAACTTCCTCCTGGCAAGGGCTGATGCTGGCAAGATGCCAGGCACCTACAACTCTTCTCTGCAGTTGGACAGAGGAGAGAAATTTAACAAACAATTTGTGGGTTCAGATAAGAAGTGGGAGAGATCACTTACCAAATACCATCAAGGGCAAAACAGGCACAACTTAGTGATACAAAGTGAATTTATTGCTAACAAAATCAGAGCAGGATGATGAGTAGTAAAACAAGCCCTTAAAAACACCTTCCCCCATCAGAAACCTCCCTGATCTCAAAACAGTCTGTTACTGGGTCTCCCCATGCCACACGTGTCTTTGTTAAGATGATTTGACTCCAAGGAATAGTAGGAAGACCACCTTCTATCTCCCAGGTACTCCAAAAAGATGAACTGAACTGAAGCCCTAGAAAGGTATTTGTGTTGTCTACATGAGAAGTCAGAGTATTAACTTCCAACAGTAATTTCGACTTTGCCTGCCTTATGACAGTAAGTACTTGGCCAGCATGCCCTTCCTAATAAAGCATATGTTAAGTATGTAAACTAAAAATAGTCATGCAAGTTACAGCTACTATCATGTACCATTGTACTGGTCTCATATCAGTAACAGCAGTATGATGGAGCTTCTGGAAAAGTAAGGTTAGAAAATAACACAGTCCTTTCTTACTCTTGTGTCCTAACACCCACATTGTTATCATGCAAACGAGTGAAAGGCTAGGACAGAGAGTGGCTCATCCTTTCTATAATGATTTCTAATCTTTTCTAATCTTTCCATAATGATCAATCTCAGAACATCCCACTCACCCCTTTTACTAATTGGAAGGAAAACTCCAATACAGCCAGTGTAGAGATGGGCAAACAGAAAGTTTCATGACATGGACCATCAGTCTGCAAAATGTAGATGGACGATAAAGGAATCAGATGCCAACAGAAAAATGGCTCATTAAGTTGTGCAGATTTAAACTGATCTTCAGTGAACTGTCTTTGTATTCTCCAAGTTCTAACTGTAAAGTGAGAGCTTTGCTGCTACACTGGCCTGTCTATAAAAAGACATCTTGCTGAATCCGTGGTATTTCCGGACAAAGACTCCATGCAACACTGATGATAAGAGAAAGGGAAAATAAATGAGATTTCCACTGCCGTGGCAGTGCCAGTACCTGCTGATGAGGATCCTGCAGGGGCAGCTGGCTCCACCACTTTTTGATTTGCCCACCGAGAGGACAGGCCAGCTTTCTTCACTGCACATTTGTAATTGTCATAGAGCGTCTTGCCATACTGCAAAAGAACCAAAACCATAACATGAGCTTGACATAGGCCAAGCATTCATTTTGCTCTTGGACAACTTTTCTGACCTTGTTTCTTCATGCCTAGTTTTGTTAAACAGCATCTTTCCAGAAGTAGTCTGCCCTTTTTCTGTGTAGGGCCAGATGGAAAGCACAATAAAACACGAATCCCCATGACCAGACACAGTCCTACTGATATCATTCTTACATTTCATATTCATTTCAGTATCTGTGAACTTCTTGAAACCTGCTTTAAAATCAACTGTTCTCAGTATCTGTTCCCAAGTATTACATATTCAAACTGGAGATTTGAGACACTGAATCCCAGGCTCTAGAGTAAACAGAGCCTGGGATTCTAGAGCTCTGTCAGTGTAAGACACAATATAATTTTATGTTCACCCCACACCTTTGTTATATGCTACCTGCAGTCAAGAAAAAGTCCAAATTAACAGGTAAGAGGAGTAGGTGTGTATGGGAAAATGCAGCCAATACCAAGGCTATGTATAAATCCATCTACCTTAATGTTTTGTACAAAGAAAAATGGGCTGTCAATTAGCATCTTTTTGAACAGAGTGAGGCAGACAATTTGGGTAGGACTATCTGAAAAATGTCACAACTGGACTGACCAGAGCTTGCACACTTTAGCTACAGTATATTATTATTGAGCCAGATAACTGTGCAGTAATTTTTATGAGTATATGAATTTTATAGCTACTGAACTCACTCCTGTGTTAATAAGAAAAACATACTGATTAGCTGAAGTATAGGGACATTCAGCAAATCCATCCTCATCATGCACTTCTGATCTTTGTTTCTGTGGTAAAATTAGCATGAATGTCCATTCTTTTTACAGTATTTCTAGTTGAGGTGATGACAGTCAGTAGCCTCAGGAAGACCTGCTCGCACAGAACATATAAAATTACTTTTAATCTCACCTTGGCAATTCTTATTCCTGTTACCCACTGATGCAGGGTTGCTTTATCATCACAGCACAAGTACTTGATATATTGCGACTCCTTTTGAATCTGGGGGTGCTGAAAGATATTAATTTATAAAATAAGAAAAACACAGAAATTAAATCACTATACAAAAGTCTGAAGGAACCACACAATGACCCTGCGAAAACACATCATGAAGATGATTTGAAAAAAAAAAGGCAGCAAAAACTGAGTATAAAAAAAATAAAAAATATGGTGATTATGAACAATACATGAGTTGCCACTGGCAGCTTTTGCTTGAAACAATTTAAATGCATTGCAATGTGAATTCAAGGGCTTCAGAAATGTAACAGTGATCTAGAGTTCAATGAAATCTATAATTGCTCTGGTTCAAGGTCTAACACTCAATGTACAAACACTAGAAGGAAGTCTGTTTCTCATTTTGTGGTTTGTCATACATGAGGCACTTAGACTGAACATTGAGCATAATTAGTTTTCAAAGACTATGTTAAATTTGTTTAAGTATAAACTTTCAGCTCAAGCATATTTTTCTGCCTAACTGACTGCTTTTCTTTGGGCTCAATTATATTTTCCATCCTATCTATTTTTATTCTTTACTCTTGCTGTTTTTGCAAAAATTATATATAAAACTGTTACACGTTCCGGATAGAGGATCATTCAAAATCCAGCACCATCATAAGTATTCTTTTTCTTTTGTTTGTACCAGAAAACTCTAAAATTTTAAAACTTTTTTTTTTTTTTTCATTTTGGACAAAATTTAGGATCTGTTTCCTTTACTGATCAAGGTAGTATGGATATGTGTTGACATATCTTTGCAATTCAAAGACCATCAAAATGCCAGACTTCCTACTTGCCTAGGACTGAACATTCTCTCTAAGACTCTGAAGGAATTTGCTTTCCTTGCTAAAGCAGAGAAAGATGTAAGTCTTTAGTAACTTGGATGGAATGACATACTGCCATCTTTTGATATGCAAAGGAAAGAATGGACCCAAAGGAAAAACACTTCATTATCCCTTATTTATGTGTTCATTTCTTTCTATATTCTTAAAAATTTTAAGTGCACAGTTAGTGAAATATTGTGCATGCATAAAAAGTAGCTAAAAATGCTCCAAGGATTCACCCTCTTTTCATCCTCTGCAGTTAAAAATTCAAAGCACACCCCCACCTAGCAAGGACAATGAGTTTAGAGGTGTCATTTAAGCCGCCAAAGCAGAGCAATGCAGGACATGGGGAACTCAGCGAGGTCCCTCCCAGCACAAAGCACTGCCAGCCTCTGGCTCATGCAGGTGCCACCTCCTCACAAATATCTGCTGCTGGCTGGGACATCCTGCTGCAGAGGCCAAACCTGCCCACAGCTGGGTGACCCAAAAGCAGAGCCAAACACAGCAGACTTGCTCCTCAGCCACGTGTCCCTTGCTCCCTGCTCAGCACTGCAAACACCAGGCTTCCCTTGCTTGTGCTGACCCAGCTGCTCAGGAGGCCACATTATGATTTAAAAAACAAAACCGGAACTGGTCTGGGTTAAATATAACCCATTTCATCATGCTGTAGTTTTGGTTTATTTGTTTTTAAACCCAGCAGTCCACAGCATGAGCTCACATAGAGTGAGGGAATAGGGAACATTGTGGCTTGGGGAGGGAATAATTAGCAAGGGATGGATGAGAGGATAGGACCGCACAAGCTATTGCTGCCAAAGCCCTGTATCATCAAATTATGGAGTGAGAGGGAACACACCATGGAGATAACTGTGAGGAAGAGAAAAACAAAGGGACATTACCCTTAAGAGGTCTCATAGTGACAGATGCATCCCAAGGCTGTGGGTAACCATGTTACAAGTCCCTGCATGTTTGCACTTGCCTGCTCACATAGGTCCCAATCTTTCTGCAAACACAGAGCTGGCCATCTCCCCTGGACAATGAATATGCTGAGTCTACTTCCAGCTCTGGAAGTGCCTGTGGCTGCCTTATTCCATCACCTTCCTCTGAGGCACTCCAGACTGAGAGCAAGGGACAGCTCCCGCTGCAAGCCCAGAGGTGCCAGCTCACTGTCACCATGTGCCTTAACTGCAGAGCAGGGGCCATGCCCACCTCGTGGACCCTCCCCCACCTGGTACACTCACACATCACCCCACTCACACAGCTCAATGCACAGGGCTGTATCTTGTTTTTATACACCTCTGCCACATATCAAACCAGGGCAGTAACCAGGCCCCTGGACAAACAGCCTGCTCCAGCTCCCAGCATCTGCCTGTCCTTGTCTCCCACAGCCCCAGAGAGCCTGAATGCTGCTCAGAATAGCCTCTGCTAACACAGACCTGGCTAGGACACAATGCCCAAAAATCCTTGTGACCCAGCACTATTTCTCCATTAGGTGACCCAGTACAGTGAAAATCAGAGAAAATCAGAGAATTCAACCTGAATGGTACCTTTACAATGGAACTGTAAGCAGGCACTTTTTTTGTGTGCACCAGAGTACATCCCATATACCTGGGTTATGTTATCACCAATGGAGACAAAAGAACCAGGATGTGCAAACAAAGACACTGCAACCCTCGGTAAAGTCAGTTCTTCAGACGCTTCTCAACCAGCAGCTAGCATTTTTGATTCAGTGTGTAAGGTCCTACTGAACCCAGCAGATGGCACCCAATCCTTTAAAAAAGGGAATAAAAGGGAGCTTTCCCTTCTTTTTCATGGCAAGAAATCCATTGCATCTACATATCCCCCCCATTTTTAAACACCACACCTACCAGTGTGTGTTTTTATTACAAGCAAAAATAGAAGACTTCCATAATTTAAAAAATGGCTCATGCAAGCATCTGGAAGAATGGTCACACTGCATAACAAGGCAGAGGAGCTCAAGGCATAGAGCAAGCTGGTAATGGTGCTGCACATACACACAGCCCTGCCATGGGGATCTGCTTCTGGGGTGCTCAAGAGAGGCTGCTGCAGACCTCTCCTCTGGAGCACCCTATGGAAATACCAGCTTCACAAGAATACCTGTACTGTGTCAGATCAAAGGTCCCTGAACCCAGCACCTGGACTCTGAGAGTGGCCAGAAATGGGGCAAGAGAAAGTACAAGATAAGCATATCCTTCTCTTTGCTCTCTGTGTACAATGATTTTCAGTGGTTTTCTGAGACTCATGAGGTTTCTCCATAAATCCAGTTCTCTTTCAGGTACTTCTTCAGGTTTTATTGAGCACAAAGAGGGTTCTGGCATCCACAACAACAACAACTTTTACAAGTCTGTGACACACTCTATGAAGCACCACCTCCTTCTCTGAACCTGACTGCCACTAGCTCTGTGTAACATTCTTGTTTTGGAAGAGATGCTGAATGCCTGATCCCTAGCCACACCTTTCCATGCCACTCCTGAGCCTAGAGATCCTCATCATACTCGTATCAAGCTGTGTCTCCTTTTCAGCCTATGGGCTTCTAGTCTCTTCAGTCATTCTTCAAGTCAATTAATTCCTTACCTTTGCTTATCCTTGTTGCTTGTGATTGATACTTTTAAAAGTATTACATATTCTCTTTGACATGAGAGGATCAGAACTGCACAGGCTAACAGAAACCATGAACTTGTGCCATGGTAAGGCAACATTTGCTGTTTTATCATCTATGTCTTTCCTAATAATTCCTAATGCTTGATTTATATATCTGGCAACTACTGAGCACTGAACCTCAGCCTCACAATGGCCTTTCAGGATTCCTCTGTCTGCCCTTTCCTTGATGATGTGAATAATATCATCAGCAAATTTCCTCATCTCACTTCTTACCCTTGCCTATGAATATTTTCAGACTGTGGGGAGGTCTCACAATTCTGAGAAGTTGAGGGGGAATATTCAGTGAACAAGGTGACAGCGTCCCTTGCTGGATAACATGTGAGTTACTGGCTACCCTTTACCCTGTCATTTGCTGGCTATTGTCTCCACCAGGCAATCCATCTCAACTACTGATACTCACCAGTGGGACCTATTCCAAATTGCCCCAATCAGTTCCATGATTAAATTACTCCAATGAGCAACCATGATTAAATGCACAGTCACAAATATGTGCTGTCAATTAGGGACCAAACTAGCAGGCTGCTGAAGCCCCAGCTCTGAGAAGGAAGGTCAGACACCTCAGAGCCACGCAGGCACCCTGTACAATCCCTTTGTTACAGCTGAGAGAACTGTATTGTCTCTCATTTTCCAAGAAGCAGCAGCAGCACTGGCTCTTTTTACATGTGACTTTCTGAATGACACATAAAGCTTAACTCATTACTGGATCCACAGCCCACTGAGGTCAACTGGAAATATCCCCCTCACCTCACAAGAGCTTTGGGTCAGGCCTAAGGAGGACTGTCCCAGGCTGCCAGTACAGAGGCTGCCTACAGCAGCTGTTGGCCAGATCACAGGAACAAGCAGCAGCAGCACCAAGCTCAGCCCTGCAGGTTTCTACCCTTACAAGATTATTAGTAACTGGTTCAGATGGAGACCTTTGGCTTCCTCTGGTTTTTAGATGCATGAAGCATGCCAATTGAGGTAGGAAGGTAAAATGTTTCAGCTGAGAATTGTCACAGCCCACTCACCCCACCATTTGCTCACTTGGAGGAACCATATCATAGTGGAATTGCTTCAGCAGTACAGTGGCAGAAGTCTCCGCTCTCAATGCTGACCTTCACAAGCTCAATTTTCCACTTGAAACTTCACATAAAATCTACTACATAGTGCATAAAAATGGTGACTCAGAATAAGCAATTTGAAGAAGAACCTAGGCAACTGGAAGTGCCTGGAAATGCTGACTGGTAGAAGATCCCTAAATGATTCTATGACTCTGTGTGGACCAATTTCCTCCTTTCACAGCTCCTGTGTCTCAGGAGAGTGTTTAGTCCAGCACACAGACATAAGCAGCTGTAGTCACTATGCAAGTCTGGTTTTACTGTGAGACTAACAGAGGTCAACAACATCAATAACAGCCATGTGAGAAATACTGTACTTTAAGGCAAAAAAACCCACAAACCTCAGTATGCCACACCTCATACATAGACAGATTTTTTTTTTAATTTATGAATTACTGAAAGACAACTGCTTCAGCAG